CTGTAAATGACTGGTGATATGAATATCATATCTGAAATAGTGACCTCTTTGCATGTGAATCTAGGGAATACATTTAAAGAGTATTTCATGATTAATTGGTTTTACTGGACTTAGAAGAAATCCTACAAGGCAGGCTCTAAATTATAAATGCTTCTCTCTTGATTCCCCAAGATTTTGAAAAATATATTTGACTCATCTTAGACTGCTTCCCGGCGTCTTGTTTTCAGAATTGTGTGTTTTGTGTATACACATCTTCCTCCCATCCTAATGTTTTTTTATCTTCTGTGTGTTCACAGTGGACATTAGGCAATCTCTCAAAGCAGTAATGGGCTTTAATTCCCTTAGGTTGCAGAGAGATGGCCACTTCTTACATTAGCCAGTCAGGTATGACAGCCCCACGACTTGCCTTCCCCTCGGCCAGTCTGGATAAATAATAAATGAAAGTGGTATTTCAGTCCTCCAAATCATCCGCAGGGTCAAGACTCCCTTCTCACAGTGAACTTTGTAAGATGTGCCGAAGCGCAGCGAGTTGCTAAAGGTTAGCGTCTTGGACAAGACAATCGTGCATTCGGCCTGCAAGCACAAGTAGTTTATAAACATCAACCACAATATCCACCCCACACATCCCTTTAGTTGTTTGTGAACAGCTTTTTTTATCGAAGTCCCCTCCTACTATCTCTGTGGGAGAATGGGGAGACAGAGAAAGGAAAAGTTAGCATTCTTGCAGAGCATACATCTGCAGCTAAGATGGCATTTTGTATTGATTTTTCGTGAGGCCTGTAATTTTGAAATCTTGTAACAGAAGATGAAGTAAATATCGTTTTATTTGCTCAAATGGTTTCAGATTGGATTGAGATGAAAATAGTGGAGACAGACAAATCTAGATGAGAAAGCAGCAATTTCACATAATTGTCTTCAGAAATGGTGCCAGAATATATTAGTACCATGCTAAAACTGACAGCCCAAAGACCTAGAAATGGACTAGAGTATGTGGAGGCACTTATTCATCACATCACTGACATGTTTTGCGCACTGCTGACAGCTTTTAAAGTAACATGTTTGCATTTAACCTTTTGTTTAAAGCTCACCTACTGAGGTTTAAAGTACCAGTTTCTATAACTGAAACCTTTTTATTCTAAGAGACTATGTCAACCTGCATTCATAATATAAATTGCGCTCATCTACAATATAGTCTCAACCCATTTCAACATCATTTTCTGGTATAAGAGCATTGATTTTCCTGTTGGATTAAAGCAACAGGTCCTTATTTTTGTTTTACTGTTTTTATCATCTCATTCTTTTGAAAGAAAACTGATATCTAAGCAGCTTGCAAAGAGGATTCCTCTTTGGGCCAGCAAGTTATGTGGCTGAGCTAATGATAAATGTTTATACCCCATCTTGAACAGCCATTTTTGTTGATTTTTTTTTTTTTTTCCCTGCAGGATCATTTTTACCTTCAACTTGCTGTTATACAAAATGAAAATAGCAGAGATTAATGTATTACTTATAGTGAAGTGACTGCACTTGAAGTACGTGATTAAGCCAAATTATTTGGACTTTGTGATAATTACTGTTGAGACAACCAGAGGTTATGAATTTATCAGTTTCTGAGTGTTTGGCATCAATACAGTATATAGAAAGGGTTAGTAATGCATTTTGTAAACTAATCAGTCTAGTATTAGGCTTGTAGATGCACAAAACATTTTTTTTTCTAAACAGACAAAAGAAAATGAACTTACAAAGTTCAGGGACATATGTTTTTTTTATATAAATATGGATAATATAGTAAATTCCTATTGCTATCATGCTTTTAAAACATTTATATAAAAATAAATAAATAACAAAAGCTATTATACTATTTTTTCCAAATTTGGTGGCCAAATGTCAAAATAAAAACTGAACATTTGTAATGGCCAGTTATACCCTGATAGGTGTTTCCTTAGTAAACACATTTGCCCAATAAGACAAGTGGATGATTGTTTTTATTCCACCAGTGGGTATATTTTCTAACAGTGGCACTCACATGTTCAAGAGTTTTTATTTTCTGACCATTCTCCTCTATCCATCCTTGCGTTCATCAATCCATCAATCAAGTAGACCACTCAAGCCAGAAACTCATCAGAACAAAGCAATCAGCTTTGTGCATCAGTCCTGTTTTCATTAGAGGCACATAAAAAACCACAGTGCTCAATGGGTATGTGTGTGTGAGTGTCGAGGACTCATTAGCTGGGGTCAGCTAATTATTTGTACCAGACTAATGAAGGTCACAGTGCTTGTCTTGTCTCTGAGCTGACAGTTTGTACTTGATTGAGATTAATACTCCTCTTCAACCTCATTGTCATTTTGATTATGGAGCATTCTGAGATTTACTGTTTGATTTAGGTGTGATAGATTTAGATGTACATGTTATTTTACATTTGTTCTATTGCATTCTTCACTAGAAAAGTCGTAAAATAAGACTAGATGTGCTAGGCAGACACATGGAGAAGAAGAGTTTTAACATTTGTGTTATATTAATCGGAGAGTTCTTCCCATTATTTAAACACTCATGCATGAATCAAATTCTTTTGGGGGTTTTCAGTGTTGTATACTGGTAGGCACATTTTCTTGTCACTCATGAAATGAAGTACATTGTCATCATCATTCAGTGGACAGATCTAAATTGCGTAGACAGTAATTATCTATAATGAAAAGGAACTCTGATGCCAAAGGTATTGCCCATATATGCATGACTATATCACAGTTGAAAATGTATTCAAAGAATGGTGCAATTATCATGATGGATGGGCCAAACTAAATTAGGCAGAATTAATAATTACTATTAAAGAGCATATCCACTTACCTGGATGCTTAATGAAGCAAAAGCAACATTGTCTATTGTACTCCGCATGATTAGCAAAGTGTTTGAATACGTCAGTGCTGTCTTAACTGTCGCTCACTCTAAAAGAGAACACTTGATTACTGAATGTGTCAGACTTCTAAGGTCACTATAACCGAAACAGAAGATCTTGAATATTTTTCTTTAGACAAAGTTTGATACAGTAAATGAAACTTGCATTAATACTGTATATTCTTTTTCTGGAATTGTATTTGATAAAGAATGTGTTTGTATGTATGTAAATTTAGTATTTGTAATAAAAGTCCAGAGGATGACTTTCACCAACCCCACGCATGTTACGATCTTAACTCCCAGGGGTAAAAAATGATTAGGGAAGGACAGAGCACATACCTGAGAAGTGAGGAAAATTATAATAGGAATCCTTCATAAAGAACCTCTGTTTTGCATATTTGTGCAATTATTACAGCTGTAAAATGCGTGTTAGTTTAAATAGTATATGACTCAGTTTAGATTTCTAGATATTTTATTTCTAATTTTGGAACAGTGTCAAGGAATGTGTCATGCAAGCCAAAATATATTAACAGCATGCTGGCAACAGTTTTGCTAAGCAGAGGACAGCAGAACAGATATTTTTAATTATACGTTCCCTACTGTCATGATCTTGGCATTGATGACTGGTCTGATTACTTATTTCATTCACCTGTTTAGCTCCGCCCAGTTTCTCATTACTACTCATCTGATCCACCTGTTTCAGCCTCTATTTAACCTGCTTTAGTCGGAAAATGTAGTTTCTCTTATTTCATATATTGATTTATCCTATTTACTCACTGTAAATTGTTTCACTCAGTGCAAGGCCACACAATTCCCCTGTGTGAGGTGTCTTCAGAGAGGAAAAACCTTCTTCCCAAACAAGCCAGAGGTTTCTTGAGGTTTATTCATAACATGTTAGTGTTCAACCAAAGTGTCTGTAATTTGTTTTGACTTTAACAACTTTCCATTATTGTAAGTAAGGGGGAATGAATGCTGCCCAGGACAGGGCTGATTACCAAGCAATAAGGGCTGTATGATGAACTGTTCTCTCTTTGCAAATATGAAAATAAAGTACCAACTGAGTGCAATCCATCGATCTCCGTTTATTTAACTGGGGTGAAAAGTTGAATACTTTTTTCCCTCCACACCTGCCTTCAACCAGTCATCAGTGCCAGATTATTTGAGCCCTTGGTGAGAGTGTTCCGGCGCTACCTTTTTGTTTCCTGATTACCTGATCCTGACCGGTTCTGCCTCCTAACTACTGAGCCTGCCTGTCCCTGTTCTGAGTTGTTTGTCTGATCTGTCGTCGGACTTCCACTGGATTCTGCCTGTTTACTGAGCCTGGATCTGTTTCCTGACACCGACCTGGATTTCCCTCTGGTACCTCTTTGTATCTCTGATCTACGCACTCCTGAGCATGTCCTCGACACCAGTTTTGGCTATGCCCTCTGGATTATCCTTCCTTCCTTCCTGTGCTTGGTTCTGATCTCCTGCATGTTCTCCAGCATCGGGACTTCAAAGTCTGGGACTCTCTGGTCAGTGTCCGCCATGTCTTGACGGCAGCCAACCGACTGGTAACACCCTCGTCCTCTAGGCATGGAATGAACTTTAAAACCAGGTTAATGACTCACACATTAATTATCATCCTTCGACAGATAGACGAGGCTACTAACCATGTTCCCTCCCTGTTCACTGTAGTTCCGTTTAAATAATGAAAGTTTTAGGAAAATCTTTCTGTCTGCTTCAAAAACTGGATCATCGGATCTGAGCCCTGACCCCTACGATGGCACCTTGCTAAATCAAGAGAAGTTTTCTTTCTGTACTTGGTTCAGAAAAGGGTAGTTTGTATTCAGATCACATGCAAACTACACTAGAGTATAAAAAAGTTATTTTTGGCTTGATTGTTACACCCAAATAAGGGTTGTCTTCAGTCTATTTACACTTGCACAAAAGCTGCAGACCAGGTGAGGAAACAAACAAGTCTGTTTAAAGCACACCAAATTTGGCAGGTGTGAATACTGTCATAATATGGGGAAAGATGGACCTAGTATTCAAGGTGAGACAGTCAGTGGGAAAGTTCAAAATGTTTATTAATATAAAAACATAAACAAACTGAAACTAAATTGGAGCTGCTAGGATCTGCGACTCTTGGATGCTGCAGGAGGGTAACGGGGCACTGCCTAATCTCAGACACTCTGGTGGGAGAAACACAGGTAAGTGACCACGATCATCTGACAGAAGATGATGATCTCACTGAGTCACTTACCTGGTTCAACAGTCCAGTCCATCTCCCTGGAAAAGTAGCGCAATCTAGCCGCCAAATAAAAAATATAAACATACAACATTTAAGACGAACAATTTGCCTCATACAATATCTTTATGCTTTAAAATGATTTTATTTAATTTTAATCATTATTAATATTTATTTTGTTGGTGTATCTAAATGTTTATAACATTTATAGCAAATGTGGTATTTAGATTATTTTAGCCTTTTTATCATTGTTGATCTACATTTTAACAATCTTAACAGGATTCAAATTTTTACTTCCGTTTTCTATTTATCATTAAAATACTGGGAATTCACCAGTCCTTAAAACTGTTAACACATCTGTTACTGTGCATTTATTTCCAAAATCTAACTCTGTTTGGCAAAATTGGTTGTAACGAGTGAATTTAGGAAATTGGAAAAAACCAAACAAAGCTCTATTACAGATAAGTGCATATATGCATTTGAAAAAATAGAAACATTTTTATTTATGAAGCTACAGTATTATATTACTGTATTAGTGATAAAAAAGAATATTTTCTTGTGTATAACATAAATGCAAGCAGTAAGTGAACATTTCTAATTTATTGCAGCAATTTGACAATGATTGAATAAAACTATAACAGAAAATTTGCTGCCCCAGGAAAAGGGAAAAAAAAATCTCCTCTTCATCTGTCCTGGTCCTTCTCTGGCTACCTCTGCAAGCCCCAGTTTCTAGACCCCAGCATCTCTAACAAGCAGCGGATACAGCGCTGGATTACTGTAGGCGTTAAATCAATAGCTGCTGGTCTCCCAGGCACAGCTATAGATTATGAATCAGTGTTGGTGAGCAGAACACCGTGGTGGCAAAAGGAAGTAAGGAGACAGAGAGGTATGGAGTTGAATAACACATAGGTGAGGAAGAAATTATATTTACAGAATTCTTATTTTGAATTGCTTATCAATTTATTGACATATTTTAGAGAGTTTAAGATACATAATGGTAGATAAATAAATAAAAAAAAAAGGTTTCCAATGCATTTTGTTTCATATATTTCTATAGGACTTGGAAATTATAATTAGTCAGATAAAATTTTTTGAAAAGTCAATTTAATATATAAGCATTCTCAAACACTCAAATAGCAACAAAGATTTGTAAGATGTGAGTCTTTACACACAGCCTTTTCACTATCTATGTAACTGATCTATAGCAACAGAGCCCATTAACCTGGATGAACCTCTGGTAATCTCTGCAGTGAGCTCCAATGTTTTCAGCTTTCGGTTTAATTCCAGGCCCTCTGAGTCCTGTTTACAGATGGTATCTAAGTGGCTTGATTCAACTGCCAATGAATATTGGCATGTGTCTGCACCCCATAGACCCTGCTATTAGGGGTGGAGACCATTGGTTTAGCCAAACACAAACTGAACATGACATCTCCCCCGCCCCTGTATGTCCAACACACACAGAAACACACGTGCATGTTGGGATTTGAACACAAAAAGGAAATTATAGTAAAGATTGGAAGATAAATTCAAGAAGAAAGTTAGAAAACCAACACAAAAATAAAAGCAAAAATGCCTTGTACACATGTAAAAGCATAAACTAAGTAAACATCCAAGATTCAACCTTGCTATGAGGAAGGTTGTTGGACCCATACTGCCCCCTGGCTTACCTCAAATCTCTCTGTGTTTGTCGAGAAGCAAAGACGCCTGAGGAATAACACGTTTCCCACCACAGATTAAGGGTCAGATAACCCAGGACCATTTCCCCAACGTTAACCATAAAATGGAAAGGAAAATATCTGTGCGAAGATCAGTGGCTCGAGGGATGAGATGATACTGAAGAGCTATTAGAAGTAACTAAGTTCTGGGTCAGACTCCCTGTAGCCAAGGGGTGATATAATGTGAACCAGGACTCCTGTAGGGCAAAACCTACAGCAGAGCTCTTTTACTAGTTGCCTTTGTACCAACTGTGAAGTCCGGGGTTTTAGACTTAAATGAGAAATCCTTGCTATAATACTTAAAAGATGAATTTTTTAACATGTTGTTAGGTTATAACCAGAATATGCATTAAAGCGACAGACGATGCAGCATTATTTAATAGAAGAGTAAGCATATAAAGTCCCGTCCTCAGTTTCAAAAAACACATCACAGCTTAGACAACACCATTCTAATGGTACAAAATAAGGCTGGCAGCCCTATGCTGGGGATTGAGCTGTTTATAGAAAAATGATTAAAAATGTAAGGCTCAATTTTTAGAGAGCTGGTGAAGACAAATACCACAACATTTACAGCAATGGTTGTTCTATTCGTTTCAATTCAGTTTATTTATATAGCGGCAATTCACAACACATGTCATCTCAAGGCACTTTACAATTTAACCAGATCATACAGTCAGATTGATTCAAAGTTTTCTATCTAAAGAAAACCAGATGATTGCATTGACTCATCGACTCAAAGGCAAACCCTCACACCAAGCATGCTTGTAGCGACAGTGGAGAGGAAAAACTCCCTGAAATAATTAATCTCTTTAGGCCTGAACACAAATGCACACTTCACAATTTGTAAAGATTTTATGCAAACATATACTTTCAATCCTCTTTTTACTGTTCTTTTGAAAAAGAGGCTTAAGTTTAAGCTTGAAAAAGAACCAATATGTTACAAATTTTAGGGATTATAAATAACTTTGGATAGTTTTGAGTCCAGTTTTGAACAGGACTCATAAAAAGACAGCATTTTTAATTAAATTAATCTGATTTCCTAGTTTTCAGCCTGCTTTTTAACTATTTAATTAAAGAGGAAGCAAAAGCAATGCATTATAATAGTGTATAGTAAAATCCTATAGCACAGACTGGTTGTTAAGTAGTCTCTCCATTGTTATCTCTATAGTGGACATTGTGTTAACTGTCAGCTGCAGATTCTGGTAGCCACAAGCTACCATCTGTGCCTGAATGACTGAGTTTTAAAGGTGGCTGCAGGATCTGTCAAGGTCAGAAGAGACACACAGAACTATACTAGCTCCCAGATATCTAGAAACATGTGAACACACATGCATACACCAAACACTGGAATGATTAATCTGTCAATCACTGCTCTGATTTCCTACAGTGAGCCGTCCTCTTTTCCCTGTGAGAATTGTGTGAAAAGAACTGAAGGTTTGTAGGATTTGTGTTTTTCTGTGTCCCTTTTTTTCCTCTGTATTTGATTTGGGCAATCAGAGCCTATTCAAAACATTTTTCAAATCACCCCACTGAAATGCAGAACATCGCTCTGAGATATCCCCTGTTCATATACATTTCAGCCTTTAACAGCAGCACCAGACTACTTCCTTTTATGTCCCTTTAACTATATATTGACTGGTGTTAGCATGACCGAACTGTGCATCAACAGGGCTTCTACCTTGTGACACCTTTAAGCAGAACTTTAATCAAAAAACAGTTGGGATGTTGTATATGAGTAGTAAATAGCCTGTAGCTTGGGCTATTCAAATGTTTAATTGCAAATCTGCTTTTTTAGTTGTGATGTTAGATAAACTGGCAGTTATCAGAGATTATCTTCCAAAAAATATATACATATATACATTCAACAACGTTCAATGTTTGAGGACAAAAAAAATAATGGAAGTTTGTTTTTACTGTATTTACTTATTTGAAAAATGGGTCAAAACATTTCTCATATGATCATTTTTATCCTTTAATACAGAAAGTAAAAAAAAATGAAAATAAGGTAGTGGATCCACTTTTTTATAACCTTTAACTGAGCTTTGTTAATATTCTTAAAGCATCCTCGTGTTTACCACAGAAATATAATTTCATGAATATACACACGAAAAAAATTAACAAGCAAGCCTCCCTTTGATTTGATTTACCTTATGTTATTAACTGAGAATATTAATATTCTAAAGTAAAATAACTGATATCTCCATTCCAATTTTAGAACCCTAATAAAAGCATGTGCATCAAATTAACTTGTGTATTTAGATGTTTTTCTTTCCTTTCTGTGTCATTAACTGTGCTATGCAAAAAATAATTGCACTTGATGAGAGTCATTTCATACTAGTAATGAGTGTTGCTGTTCCTTTAATTAGTGGTCTTCAAATTATTGCTACTGCACATATATTCAGATTTGTCCTTAGTAAACCAGAAGCATACCCAACTGTGCTACTTATGTAGTAATTATAAAAATTACTTTTAGAGTGCATTCAGTTTTCAGTCTTATATTTCCTCAGCATTGATTGGCCAGTAATTTTACTAACCCTGTGCTTTAAAAAGATTTTGCCTAAATAGGTTTTATAGCGCTAACTAAAAGAAGTGTAACAAGCTCCAACAATAAAGATATGACACAATATTTCTCTTCAAAGGAAAATGCAGCTCTAGGTTATCAGTCCTAGTGATAGTTCAGTTTAATTATAGCTCAGCTTAATTATAAAGCACAGATTTATAAACAGATTTATTCAAAAACTGATAACTCTCAAGGTAATTTTTAAGAAAAAATCAATGTACAGCAATGCAGTCAAGTTGATCTGATCATAGAGATTAAAATGATTCATTTTTACATATTTTCCTCTTTTAATAGAGTACAATCAAATTCAACTTTTAATGCCAACGTTATCTATCCAAGGAAGTCCTGCTGATTGTATTAATTCAAACATTGCTTAAACATTTTAAAAGCTTTACATCTTTTATGAAAACACAAAAGGAAGCATATGAGGTTGTGCAAATATGAACTAAATTATTTTATGTAGAATACAAATCCGATATTCAGTTTATGATTGAAAGAGACCTTTATTATAATTGTGAAAATATAAAAAAGGATAGCAGTTTTCAAAGAAATGGTGCCACAATCTTTTGTCTATTTTTTGTGCACCCAATATCACGCATCATCAAGTCTTCCAAGCCGGATGAACTGTCACCCCTTTTAGCTAAATTAACATCTGCTATTTCTCTTTCATTGTTCCAAATTACTTTTTCCCACAATCACTACAATCTTCATCACTTCATTCTCCCAACTCCCCACACCCTTTCTTGGGTAAATTGTAGATGACCAGTGTAGCTGAGAAGTAAAAAAAAAAAAAGGAAAATGGGAAACAAAGCTTTTAGTAATTTGTCTGGTGTGCTAAAACATTTGGTTTCATTCTATAGGCTCCAAACCAAGTCAGTCACATTGGGAAAATTGGATTCCCGAATAAGGAAATCCCATGAGGGAGGTTAGGCTGTCTGTCTGGATCAACTGAAGACATTTCTTCTCCCTTTCCTTTACGCTGTCTTTCATTCGCTGCACCGAGGCATTGTGCGTGGAGAGATTCTGTTCACACTTTAGTGAACCAATAGGGCCATAATACGTATTGATTAAGCTATTAGCCAACATTACCCTGGCACTGGCAGAGACTGTGTTTAGAATCAGCACCTCCGGAGTCTGTCACAATGCGTCACATACACACGTATTCAAGGACGTACACTTAGACACACACAGAGTTTGCGAAAAGCTGATTGGGTATCCTGTGAAGTCGGTTAGTTACTGAGGTGACTAAAATACTATTCTCTTATCTATTCCCCTCTGTCCCTGTGCACATCTTCTACCACTCTATCTCTGTAACTGAACTCCAATCAAGTAAGGCCACAGACCCAAATATCCACTGTTTCAATGAGATGGGTTAGGGTACAAAATACAAGCACACACACACTCCGACAAACCTGATTAATCAGATAAAGAAAGCTTGATTACAAAGGACAAGGTTATAGTGAGGAGTGACAGAGGTTGGGCCAGGCTTTCCAAGTCAAACAGCACCCACAAACACACCAACTTGAACACACTTACCTACTCTAACTGATATATATTTACCTTTATACACACTGAACACATACACAATGAAAAGCTGGTTTAAGATTATTTGAATCAAGACAACCAAATTTCTGTCAAAATGCAAATAGGTATATGTTTGTGTGATGTAAAGAGAACCTGGTCAAAAAAAAAGTTTGTGTACTAATTTCACTGTCTTACAGTTCGATAACTGAGTGAAAAAGAAGTACACCTGGAAAGACATTATCTTGCCAAAACATACGATTTTTGCTGTTTTACAAGAAGCAGATAAGAAGCACTATTTAATATTTCTTGTTTTAATGGGTTCCCAAAATAACCTTATCTGTCCAAAAAATGATTCCGCTTGGTCAGCTGCAGCTTTTTTTAAGTTATATAAAATATATTTTCAAAACAATCAGGTTATTTGACCAGAACTTTTTTTTACGGGTGTCCCAAAACAATTTGTAACAGACACACTGCAGCCAATCAAAATTGAATAACCACTTTGAACACGATGTGAGAGTCTTCGGCAGTAGACCATTATCCAGTCAAAATACTACAAGGCATATTTTTGTGTGATGGACAGAGTCCCCTATTAAATACACTTATTTTTGTTTTAATGGTTGCACTGCTTACAGTTGACTCTATAATAGAAAATAAAACAAACAGAGAGTAAGACAAGCATTAAAATTTGCTGCCACCAAAACTCAACAGCACCATGTTTTGAATATATTTTGCCAGAATTTTCTGACCGAGTGATTTCCAATACATTGTCAAGACAAATTACCTCTACTTAATAAGATCCCATGGTGAAAGTAGAGGATGGTCATTCAGAGAGGAGGGGAGAGGAAGCGACAAGTATTAATTTGGGATTTTTCACAAACTGACACTCTAGTCTCCATCCTCAGGCCCTGGGGCTGTGTCACTTCTCACCCATCCTCACACAAGCCTCTCAGTCTCTCGTTGTTGCTCGTCATCCCCCGGTTTCTCCCTCCTCCTTTGCCCTGATCATGGAAGAAATTCAGTGGCGTAGCAATTA